ACAATCACTCATATGATAAGCTCCGCTCGACAAAGTCGACAGCGGAGCTAAAAATATGCACATTTTATTACAATATTAATTACGTACCACCAGAATTTACGAAATTAAAAACATTTGAGTATGTTGAAACACAGTCGAAGTCAAAATTATCTCCACATCATGAAGATGTTAGATTGTACGCAAACTCTCTAAACAAAATCACTTTCCGCCATGATGCATTTGCAGATTTCACCTGCAGCGGCGTCCTTTGACCTAATGGGGCAAGTTGGTATTAACCAATCACAATGCTGTGTTGTACTGACGCAATTCTTCGGAAATTCCCGAAGACGTTCCGGTAACGCAATGTGGAAGTGAATTATCGATGTCGAAGTACGATCTGTTGGAATTGATTTCAGCGAATAAACGACATGGTTTTTCTAAAAAACTAGTAACTAGCCATTTTTGAGAGGTAAACTGAATATGGCATGAAATATTTACCGCATTTTACTTGTATTAACAGATCATTGTCGAAGGGTAGTTTACGCACGGTTACCGCGTTCTACGCATTCACAGCGGTCAATATCCACGCTGTATCATATAAAAACGATTACCAAGATTCGTTACGCAAGACCAAGTTTTAAATTAGTTGCATTTTGAAGGGGTGGGTGCTTTGCCGAATGTGACCCCAAATATAAAAATTGCGCAAAAGTGGGGGGTGGGCGCTTGCCCGGGCATGGGCGCTAACGCGGTCGAGTACGGTACTAACAATGTTTCATAGTAGGAAATTAAGACACTTTATAATTTAATGAGAAAAAAGTATATAAATTAGCATGATTAGCATTGTGTGAGAAAGTGCGTTATTTCCAGATTTGACCCTACATTGTATTGTATTGCAATGCTCCTGGTTTTCTTGCAGTACAATAACAATAAGCAGCCTGTCGGCTGAGATAGCTCTACTGTTAGCAATGCACAGTTCAATTAAAGATCAGAAGATATCATTAGAAAATGAACAATATGTATAGTATCAAGGCAACAGGACTTGCTGTTTTCAACAAAATTCAAAAATATCACCTCACCAAAAATGACAAAAATAATCATCAAAATTAAGTAATTGAAGATAACACCACAAAATTAACAAATCTGAAAGATCCACATGTAGTACCTATATATGTAATATCAAAGCAATTGGACTTGCGGTTTTTAACAAGAAGTCAAAAATATCACTTTTTACCAAAAATGACAAAAATATTCACCAAAATTAGAGAATTGAAGATATTATCATGAAATGAACAAATCTGAGAGAGGTCTACCCAAGGTACATATACACCAAGTATCAAAAGCGTTCAGGCTTATAGTTTTCAAGAAGAAGTCAAAAAAGTAAAACATTGACATGGACGATAGAGACTGAGACAATGGACAATCACTCAAAGTCGACAGCGGAGCTAAAAAACAAGAAGACTGTCTGCTGAGATAGCTCCGCTGTTAGCAATGCACATTTCAATTAAAGTATTGAAGATATCATTAGAAAATAAATATGTATGGTATCAAAGCAATCGAACTTGCGGTTTTCAACAAGAAGTCGAAAATATCAATTTTCACCAAAAATGACAAAAATATTCAAAATTCGAGAACTGAAGATATTATCACAAAATGAACAAATCTGAGAAAGGTACACATGTAGTACCCATATATATAAAATCAAAGCAATTCCAAAAAATAAAAAGCTGACACAGACGATGGACATGCAATCACTCGTGATAAGCTCTGCTCGACAAATTCAACAGCGGAGTTAAAAAACAAGTTGGCTGACAATTGCCATCTTCGATCTGTTTCAATCTTGAATCAGGTGAAAAACTCGGGGCGTTCAACATAAATATGAATGTTAATTGGTCAAATAAGTTTCCATGACTGAGTTTTAAAACATGCATGTTTTTTTTTCTTTGAAATGATATTGTATCATAATGCACTTGACTTTAAAATTCAACCAAAAACTCCAAAGATGAAATACAATAAGCAAGCATTCATGAATTTTCTGTTGAAGCTATATTCTCGCAGCTATTTATAGAATTGATCACAATAATCCTTTCATTTTTGTTCTAAATCATCATCTGTATATTATTTTTTGATTAAAAAAATATAATCCATGAATGGAGATTGAACAAATACAACCAGTGTGATTTCTGAGATAATTACCTAGATGTTCCAGTGGTATAAAGTATAATTAGTATTTTCATATAAAGATTTTTGTGCAAACATTCATTCATTGGTACTAGTATATATATATAAATTAAACTAGTCACTGAAGGTTATTTTATATAAATAAGGAACTGGTGAATAGAAACTGAACAAACGTTTTATCACAGGATGTCGTAAAATTCCGATTTCCTCCTCCATCCCTGCAGAATTTAATTTTTATTTGTGTACCCACTCTAAAACTTGTCTATGGTTATTGAATTAGGTGTAAAAATAGGAAAGAGTTTCTTTCGTACCCCACTCCTATCCCTAACCCTACCCTCCAGCACTCCCATTTAATTGTACATGCCCCTCTCCTAAGGACATCTATATAGTTATCTAGAGGGGGCATATACGAATGAATTGGGTAACTGGGAATGAGTGTTAGAGTTAGAG